GCACAATTATGCACCTGAATGACCCCTAGAAAAATCCATAAAATATATAAATAAATAAAATTTATAAATAACCCATTATATTTCTTAGTAGGATTTACATTCATCATTTATTCTGTTAGCGCATTTTGCACCGTGCTGTGGTCACCACTCCCCTGTGTTGTAATTCATGGTGACATTCATGGCAAAATAGTGCAAAGGCTTGCTAGTTCCTTTTGCACCAGGGTTGCTGAGATTACTCTGTCCCTCCTCTCAGATGTTCCTCCAGCCAATGGTAAAGCCATTGACCTCTAAGCTGCACCTCCTATGTCAAGGCTGGTGACTAGCTGATGACTGCTTGGCACAGGTGGGTTCAGGAGAAGCATTCCCCTTCATGTCAGGTCAGAAAAGCCTTCGGACTACCCTAACACAGTTTAGCCCACGGGTCAATGCCACTGACTTGGGTGTGGTTATTGCAATGCTTATGTGACTTCTTGGAGCCATGTATGAGAGATATAGACCTTGGGCCAGTACAGTTTCACATCCCTATTCACTTGAGTAAAGGAGTTTTAAAATTCTGTTTTGTTTTCATTGGTTGTGCAGATGTTACATGAATATCTTATAGTGATAATTTTTATATATGCATCAATTTTAAAATTCTTTGTTTTTATTGGTTGCGTAAATGTCCTGTGTATATTTTATAGTGTTAGTGTTTATGTAACTGTTTACTACCACTGAGACACCTCAAAATTATATAATAATTTGGAATTATTTATTTTTGAAAACATGTTGCACTTTTATCTAATGAAGATAACATTTTAATAAAAGCCACTCCCTGCAATCCACCATTTACACACACACACACTCTCTTCTTATAAAGCAATCTATCTTGTTAGATATTTATCCCTGTTTCACGTCAGCAATGTTCTTGTTTCCTTTTGGTAAAAGTAATTGATGTTCAATTCTTAAAGAAGCTCAAAATCTTGAATGCTGCTCATTATTGCTAACAGGAAGCTCACCTTTCCCTAAAACATCCTGCATCTTTTCATAATCTACTTAACATTCGTTCATATGGAATAAGATTAAATAAACAAAGCAACTAAAATAAGATATTAAATTTCTTTTACTTCAAAATAGTTGATTACCTAGATATCACCCTTAATCTTAATGATAAAATCTTTAAACCCTACCATAAAGAGAACGAAACCCCCAACTACATTAAGTAAATGACTTGCAATCAGTAATTAAAAAAAAGTATTATTCTTTTTTTTCCTTTACCTGGCTTTTATATTTTAATACTTATTTTGTTAATTTTCCACAATATAAAGAATTTACTTCAGAATGGTTTATAACTTGGAGGTCAGAAATAAATCAAATTGGATTATAAGAATTCATTACAGTTACAACATGGTTGTAATTACATCATAATTTGAAATTATTTTTGAATATATGTAGCACACTCATCTAATGATGATAAATTTTTAATCAAAGCGCCCCTGCCCGCTAAGCCACCATTTTTACACACACACACTCTCTCTCTCTTCTTATAAAGCAGTCTATCTTGTTAGATATTTATCCCTGTTTCACGTCAGAAATGTTCTTGTTTCCTTTTGGTAAAAGTAATTGATGTCCAATTCCTAAAGAAGCTCAAGATCTTTATCGCTAACAAGAAGCTCACCTTTCCCTAAAACATCACGATTCTTTTCATAATCTACTTAACATTTGTTCATAAGAAATATGATTAAATAAACAAAACAACTAGACTAACTTATTAAATTCCTTCTTTCTTTCTTTCTTTTTGTGCCCTTTCTTTTCAGGATGTAGGCGATCATGTCTCTCCACTCCCACCTATCCCATGTAGCTTTCAATAACTTTTGTCCCTCTGCTTCCTCTCCCAGACCATGTTCTGTCATCTATTTGCTTAATCCCACCAGTTATGTCATACATTGTTTTCCCTTGTCTCTTTTCCACTCTGTTCAACCTGTGAGTATCAGATTCTTCAGACCCTCCTTTCTTATTACGTGTCCCAGAAATTTCAGTTGCCTCTTCCTTATTAAGTATAAGCTTCTTCCTTGTTTGCATCCTTTCCAAGACCTCATCATTGCTCACAGGCTCGCTCCATGATGTCCTTAGCATCCTTCTGTAGAACCACATCTCTGCTGCCTTGAGTCTTTTCTTCATCTTTGAGGAAACCATCTAACATTCACTGCCATATAGGAGGACAGATGTCATGTAGCAGCTCAGTACTCTTTTCTTTGTCACCAAAGAAATCCTCCTGTCTTGCAGTACTCTGCCCAGCTTTCAGAATGCATCCTTGGTGATCCCAATCACATCACACCTACCATCCTTCATTAAAAGTATCCCATTAAAACAAAACAGGCTGTAATTTTGATTTTAAAAATGCTGCCTTAATGAAAAAAGAACATAACTTATTATGAAGAAAATACCTAGAAGAAATATCAATAAATAATCGGCATATAATAAATACTCACCAAATACATTTATTCATATCACCTGTATTGATAAAATCAATTCTTAAATGTAAGATTCAAATATTTATAATTGATGTAGCCTAGTATTGACCATTCAATTTAAGCATTCATCATATTTATTGTACAAGTAAAATAATACTAAGAAACCTAATTTTTAATACACACTTAAATTATGTTAATATTTCAAGAATAAAACATAAACACAGATGTCATAAGGTATACATATGACATCTGCACAATCAACAAAAACAAAACAAACATACAATTTAAAAATTGTTATATCAACACTAAAGCCATAAGATATACACATGATGTTTACACAACCAATAAAAACAAAGGATTTTAAAATTGATGCATATATAAAAACTATCACTATAAGATATGCATGTAACATCTGCACAACCAATGAAAACAAAATATACAGTTTAAAAATTGTTACATAAACACTAACACCATAAAATATACACAGGACATTTACACAACCAATAAAAACAAAGAATTTTAAAATTGATGCATATATAAAAACTATCACTATATTCATGTAACATCTGCACAACCAATGAAAACAAAACAGAATTTTAAAACTGATACATAAACACTAATGTCATAAGATATACATCCAACTTCTATATAACTCTACATTGTTGGGCTCCTCAAGGTGGTGTAATGGTTAGCGAGCTTGTCTCGCTAGAACAATTACGACTGAGTAGTGAGTTCGATCCTCACTGGGTGCCCCATACTTTCGGCCTTGTGCCACATCTGAGCTACGCTTGGTAAATCACTATGAGCACCTCGAGGTGGTGTAATGGTTAGCAAGCTTGTCTCGCTAGAACAATTACAAATGAGTAGTGAGTTCGATCCTCACTGGGTGCCCCTTAATTTCGGCCTTGTGACACATCCAAGCTACGCTTGGAAAATCCCTATAACTCTACATTGTTTCACTTTCCAGAAATTTCTGAACGTAAATAAATACTGAAATATTCAATTTATAAAGATTTTCTTGTTCCTTATTTAATGAAAATTATATGCATAAATATTTCGATATTTATTAAACTTAGGACAGCTGAATAGAGTGATGGCTATCGGTACACTAAGTTTGAATTTTGACTTAAGTTTCATCTATTCACTTAGAAAAGGCATGAAATCATCTTCCCACAGTTATGAGTTAAAGAGCAAGGCAGACTGAACTCTTTCACCTCGATTTAGGAGAAAGAAAACATTGAATTCAAATCACAATAAATAATGGAGCAGCCTTGGTAGAGCAACCAGTCAAGAAGAAAGACAATTTTGAAATCAAAACCTGCCGAGAGAGATGGGCCCTATCAGGCTACAGTATATCTGATACTTCAGTGAGTTTAATGAGTCATGGAACTTTTGATTGTGATATTGTCTTGGCAAAGACCATCTTTCTTTGAACACTGAGGACTGGCGATACAGAATAATAAACAAAGAACTGTACCAAATAAAAGAAACCACATCACTTGAAGACTTCCAACAGCAGCAACAACTAAAATGGATGACACATGTAATTAGATAGGAAAATAAGGACATAATTAAGATGTTGACATTACACGCTATTTCAAACAAAAGGTTACAAAGGAAACCCCCATCAATACTGGAGAGAGCAATAATTCCATCCAAAAGCAGAACTACCTGCTTGGTCAATAAATGCACAAATGTTTCCTTGTAGGGAAACAGTTAATATTACCATTTCTTTCAGTGTTTGGATTCTGAGAATTTAAATTAATTTTAGAATGCATGGTGCCAATCAGTTAAGTGCCACATGTGATACATGCTTGGGCGATCATGTATCTTTCAATACATGACTGACAATGTAGAAGAGATTTCCTGTAGTAGATTGCTGTTAACTTTCTGCGGTAGACTGGTTATGAAACCAGTCTATCCTGCTGTTTAACCCATAGCTGGGAGGAGAATAGATGGATTCATACCTTTCCCAAGGGTATTTGTGCATAAGCGAATATAATGAACCCAACTGGAATTTGAACTTGGATCTCTGAGTTATCATTCCAAACTGATATCCATTACACCAAAATTTTAGTTAATTACTTGAGACTATTAATTAGGTTAAGAAACTTTCATCACATGTACAAAACGAGAATTCATTTCGATGATAAGTCAGAGAAAATTTTCTCTTGGTAGAAATGGCGGAAGCAATTTTTTCTTAATTCTTTCTCTTTTCTGCCACCTCACCATCACAATTCAACTGGTGTTGACCAATCTATTTCTCAACACCTTTCTTCAGGTGCAAAGCCTCCTTAACACCTGTTTATTCATATCTCTGGCTGCCCATCTTGCTCTTCTTACCTGATCTTAGCTACAGCTTTCCCCAAGAAGCAGATGAGCATTTATCTATCCCTGTTAACGACTATTGTACCCATCGTAGCAAAGGTCACACCTGCAAGCGAAAAGCAATCTCTGCTTGAATCTCAAGAGGCACAGGCTGCTTGTCTATATTTATGAGGGTCAACAAACATTATCAGTTTTTCTATCCACTCAACAACATCTCAGAAGATGAAATTTTGTTTTTCTCTACTTATTTCATCTAACTCTCTTTCTCTCTCTCTCTCTTATCTGTTATCTTCCTCTCTTCCTCACTCTCTTTCTTCCTCTCTCTACTTCTCTCTTTCCACCTCTCTCCTTCTCTCCTATCTTCCTCCATTACTTTGCTTCTCTATCTCCCACTCTCCTCCCTTACTCTTTCCACCTCTCTCTCCATTTCCTTCTCTCCAGCTCTCCTCTTTCTCCCCAACTCTTTCTCTCTCTCTCTCCACTTCTCTCTCCCTCCAACTCTTTCCCTCTCTCCACCTCTCTCTCCTTTTTTCTCTCACTCCCTATACTCTCTCACTGTATATTTCTCAATGATTCTGGTTTTGGCATGTTTTTATTGATTTTATCTCAAATTGATCTTTTTATTGATTTATTGATCTTATTTTGGCAATCAAATGATGGGTGGGATCTGTTTAGAAAGCCAACTTGTTTATTTATTTCACCTTAGTGTTCTATTACGCACATGCACACACACACACACACACATATACACATAGATGTACAGGTGGTGTAAAGGTTAACATCTTGGAATGGGAAATCAGAAAGCAGAGTTCAAATCCCAGTCAAGTTTGTTATATTCACTTTATTCAGAAATACCCTTGAAAAAAGTATGAATCCATTTGTTCTCCCCCAAATTATGGGTTAAATAGTAAGGCAGACTGGACTCTTCAGTCTCGGTTGACAACCAATCGAGAAAAAGGCAAAACTGAATTCCCAAACCTAGGTAGCTGGAACTCATTAGCATTAAGCAGTGGTTCTCAACCTTTTTTTTTTTTTTTTATATCCATGGACCACTTTTTGCTCCATAACCATTAGATGAAAAAAAAAAAAAAAGCTTATTTTATTTTTTACTAATAGATAGGAATTTTTATATAATTTTCCTTTATACATATAATCCTTTCTTTATGTATCCTTCTCAGTTTTTATTCAACTTTTAAAATCAAAACATCCGGTAGAATAAAAAGAACACTAACTAACATTGCTTGATCTTGTTTTCTTTAGCTTTAAAGTTGTTTTTCTATTTTTAGTATTTTAATATGGCGGAGATTACTGTAGAAATTCCAAAAGCTCTGTTGTAACACCCATTCCAAAGTGAAATTGCTCTATGGACCACTAAAATATTACTGTGGACCCCCAATTTGCTATTTTTTTTGTGTGGACCCTTAGTAATGTTACATGGACCCCCAGGGTCCAGGACCACTAATCTAAGGGAAGGAAAACCTTGACAGAAAATCAACCCTACTTTTGAGTAAAGAGTTTGGATTTGGGGCCAATCACCCAACTCTGTGGAACAATTCAAATACAGAAATCTCACCAGAGTACTTTTATGCCATAAGGCACAAGGCAGATAACAAATACACATGCAGAGAGAATTGGAGCTGCAAACTCTTTGTTCATTGAAGCTTTTAAAATTTCAAATTGACCAAACATTTGAGTAACAATATATATATATATATATATATATATATATATATATATATATATATATATATATATTCTTACAACATTTCACCATTCTTGGCAGATCTTCTGTTATTTCAATGTGGCATATTTAATAACAAAAATGATGGAAACATAAACAAAAAGAAAAAGAAACTAAATGAAATCAGCTAGACTATATAAACAAAACATATTTAAAAAAAAAAAAGAAGATATTTAAGCATGTGTAGTCGCATCAACATAAGTATCAATTTAATCCAAAGAAATCTTAAAGGACAAAACACATCACATGATATATATATATATATATATACTACCACCTCCTTGAGTAGGCACCTCACATGTCACTTATCAGAGCAAAGTGCAACAAAAAACGTCTATCTACCTACAATCTACAAGAACGCTTAAGAAAAATTCTGGTTGAAAACACTAAAATTCTATATAAATCAAATTACCAAAAACATCTTGCTATAAGAGAGTCTCTGTACATTAAACATCTCGATCACACTATCAACCTCACCTTGTATAATAATGGGAATGGCATGCTGAAACTTTTGAAAAAAATACAAAGACGCTCATTTGAATTCTACCTATGCTCAACATGCAAAGTCTCAGAGTAAACACTCCTATTAGCATTCAATACAGCGCAAAAAATACATCTCAAACAGCCAAAACATGAAGAGAAACTAAGAGCACCAAATCAAAACCTCCTTGAAAATGGCAAAGGAAATAGCTGAAAGTGCTTGGGACAATGGATAATATAGAGTTTTTGTAGACCCACCAAATGGAAAAATGTAAGAATTCTGGAAAACTAAATAAAAATTTAATAAAATTTTCTTTGTCCATCATGTTTAACAAAAGATGTTTAAAAGAAAGGTTGCTGCCCAAATATACATTAACTGGTTGTCAGCAAGAGACAAAGCCCAAATATAGAAGATCAATCATCTGGAAATTGTTTTAACAGATGACGGAAAAAGTGACATCGAAAATCAAAGGTGCATTGGAATTGCAAAAGATGCCTTCCAAAAACTAAACAAACTATTAAGAAACAGGAAAATATCAGGAAAAAACAAGAGTGTTAATCTGCTATGCAATATGGTAATGAATGATGGACCATCTACTCACAGATAGAGAGGCAAATTGAGGCAACAGAAAGGTTGTTCTACAGAAGGATACTGAGAATAACATAGAGCATGTGAGCAGGTTTTATGGAAAATGCAAACAAAAACGATACTTAGTATCAGAAACTGAGAGATGACATTTCTGGGACAAATAATGAGGAAAGAGAACAGAGAATTTAACACATTTGGGAAATGTTTTGACAGAGGACGTAGGTGCAAAGACAGATAGGAATCATTAAGGATGCATTCCAAAAGCTGGGCAAAGTATTGTCAGACAGGAGGATTTCTTTGGCGACAAAGAAAAGAGTAATGAGCTGCTACGTGACATTTGTCCTCCTATACGGCAGTAAATGGACAGTCTCCTCAAAAATGAAGAAGAGACTCAAGGCAGTGTAGTTCTACAGAAGGATGCTAAGGACATCATGGAGCAAGCATGTGAGCAACGATGAGGTCTTGGAGAGGATGCAAACAAGGAGGAAGCTTATAGTTAACATAAGGAAGAGGCAGATGAAATTTCTGGGAAACGTAATGAGAAAGGAGGACCTGGAGAATCTGATACTCACAAGTGGAATAGAGGGGCAAAGAGACAAGGGAAAGCAATGCATGACATACCTGCCGGGCTTAAGCAAATAGATGACAGAACGTGGTCTCGGGGAGTTGGCAGAGTCACAAAACTTATTGAGAGCTACAATGGATAGGAGGAAGTGGAGAGCCATGATCACCTACATCCTGAAAGGACACAGCACATAAAAAGAAAAGAAAAAATACATTTTGAAGATAACAGGGCTTGAAGGATTAGTTTAGTTTCGCTTGGTTTCTGCTTAATGGCCCTTGTGAGGAACGAGAAGACTTACCTCCTGCAAAGCAAATTTGCTTGGCGTGTCAGGTCTTGTTGAAAGATCACAACCAGCATTAAAAGAGAAATGGATTATTCCAGAATTCCTATATCGCAGACAGATGTACAAAGAAAAAAATAAAAAAGACTAAGAATTCAAACCAGCTTGAATTTATAAAACCAGAAGTCTTGGGCAAACAAGAAGTAAGTCTTGTATACAAATTTTAGTTGCCCCCTGATGCAAGCATAAATAGCGAGTCTGTGAGGAAGACTGCAGTACGCTTTGTTGGCGTGACAGCATACATGCATACTAACAAGACCGAGAAAATAAGTGGTTATTAGCCACAGCTCAGTTGGTAGACCAGAGGACTGGATCAAAGCAAGTACTTTAATCCATTTCAATCATTGCAAACGATGAGCAAACTGAATTACCCACAGCCTTTCAACCACTATAGGGTTATTTAAAGCCAGATAATTATTACGAACCATGTTTGTTTTGGTTAAACGTTGATGTTATATGTGGATCAATGATAGTTTGGGTACATGTTAGTTGGTGAAAGGTTTTTTTTTTTCATTTTGTTTTTTGATCAGATATCAGGAATGCTGATTTCTAATATAACTTATTTTGTATGCAGTTTCTGATGCAAATTGGTTAATAGAATTTGCATTGTTATTTTTAGTGGGGATCTTTATGAAGTCTGATGGGTTCTTTTTCCTTCTTTTTTTAATTTTCAGAATATATTAACAGTTTTACATAGTTATTTTTTTTTTTTTTTTTTACAGTAAGATTCACCCTATACATAGCCCAGGGCACTACTCGAGGTAGAGGATTACATTAACTCTAGACTTGAACAGGTTAAGATTGTATTGATTGGGGAAATATCCTCTTGGGAGTCTATTCTACAGAGTGGTGGTTTGCAGGAAGAAGCTGTTCGAGTGGAACATACTTCTCACCAATGGAATACAGAAAAAATGTGGGTGGTTTACTACTATGTTACATGGCACGTGGCCGAATGGTTAGAACATTCGCATTCTGACCATGAAACCTAGGTTCGAATCTCACCATGGTCAATATGTCAGGAAGGAGACTTCCTGATGTTATCAGATTGGAGGGTTCAATCCCAGCATGTGCCACCTTTGGAAAGGGCCTGAAAATCATACCACAGTTTGGGTTGGCCCAAGCCTTGTGAGTGAAACTGGGTAGACGGAAACCTCAGGGGCCATCAATAGCTGTGGCCGAGGGCTTGAGCGTGCTGACTTTGTTCAAATTGTTGATCACACTAGATAACACGCTCTTTCCCAGAAACTGTAACTAAGGCCTGCTGAGCATAATTGAAGTATAAACCACAAGTGGGCCCTGTAGGTGTTGAATAAACAGAAATGCCTGAGCAAACGTCTGCAATAGGGATTGGCTAGCCACCTAGTAGACGGGTATCCTTGAATACAAGTGGCCAGCTATACATACGTACATGGCATGGTGGGTCCAATCCATGAGAGTCAGACCTGGTGGAAACAATGAATGTAGCACTTTCCATGGAAGTAGTGACAGAACAGCGAGAAACTCACCACATTCCACCTGTGCGATAGAGCTTGCTGGGAGTGGGTGGGGAATAATTCTTTTCCAACAAGGACTTGGAGAAGCTTTTGAATTCTATCAAGACTGGAAATTGAGGGCATGGCAGGCTCCTGCCCAAATATAGCAAGAGTTCTCCATTTTCAGCCTCATAATTATGTTGGTAGCACTTATTGTTTTATATTTGGGTATAAATTTTGGTTTCTTTTAAGAAAGTTAAGGTTATTCCATTTGAATCCATTACATTCACTTACATGATAATACCCTTAGGAAAGGTATGAATCCTCTTCTTCTTCCACCAGCTATGGGTAAATAGCAGGACAGACTGGGGTCTATAGCACTGGATGGTAACTGATCTACCACAGAAAGAAATGTCAACCTACTGCAAGAAAAACAATCTGCCTCATCAGTCATGTATCAAAAGATACATGATTGCCTAAGTGTGTGTCACGCATGGCATACAACTGTCTGAAGGTTATTGTTTGGTTTAGTGTTTTGAAAGAGTTCTTTTGATTGTTTGCTTGATAATATTTTGTTCAAGTTTGACTGAGATGATAGCAACTTATAACTAGATATTCAGCCATATGAGTGAAGGGGTTAAAGGAAACATGGATTAACCTGTCTTGTGCAAATGAATGGCACAAAAGGTGATGGGTGATGGGAGAGATAGTTAGGTGACAAAAAAATTACTTAGAGCTATGAAGGGTAGGAAGTTGTGGAGGTCCATGACCTAAAGGGACACTGCACATAAAATAATAAGAACCTTCACAAGTGGCAAGACATTACCATATATGTCAGTATACATGGCAACCATTTAACCTTAAAAAATCCCCCTAAAAATAGATGGCTGCTTTATACTCCAGGTATAAAATGTGAACCTTAAAACCTGTGGTTTATGGTAAGTTGTTTGCATGGGAGAAGTGTGTCTGAACAAGCCATTTAAAGATTGCATGCAAGAACACACACACGTGTGTGTGTGTGTGTGTGTGTGTGTGTGTGTGTGTGTGTGTGTGTTAGTATGCAAGGTGACCTTTTAACCTTAAAAAATCCCCCAAAATTAGGGGTCCATCTTATACTTCAGGTATAAAATGTGAACCATAAATCCTGTGGTTAATGGTAAGTTGTTATCATGGGAGATTTTTGGCGGTAGGTAACTATTGACACAAATATATTCTACTGAAACAACTTAATTCACATTATTATAATAAAAGTGCAGTGTAATAAAAATACTCTTACCTTATATAATATGTGCTATGATTGCACAACAACAATAAAATGAGTATTCAAGAAAAGAAATCCCAAACTATCATTATACACTGTAGATTGTGTTGATTGATTGACAATATCTTGCTTCCTTTTTTTTTTTTTGATGATGTTGAACAAAGACACAACTGGATGTCTGTCTCAACAAGCCATTTAAAGATCAGATTCAAGAACAGTGGAATGAGTGGATGGTTAGTTGGAGGGTGGGGGGGTAGTCATTCGGGTTACTGTAATAGTCTACCAAAAAAATAGCACCCACTCATGAGGTATTGTAGATTGTGGTAGTTAATTGACAATATCTCTCCACCATTTTTTTCATTAGAATTTGAGTGAAAAGAAAGTATATGCTTACTGAATTTATTTAATAAATTCAATACAATACATTTTGAAAAATGAATTGGTAAGGTCTTGTCAGCAAATATAACACAAAACCTACATTTTAACTTGAAAATTTGGGGATTGTCTTCTATGCCCAGTCATCTTGTATGTCAACATATATGGTACTTGTATTGAAGCAGAAGAGACATAGAAATGATGCTATAGTATAAAATAAAATCACTAATGATGGTTAAAATTCTAAGTGAGCAGAAATTACTCATGTAGCCACCCAAAAATCCAACTCATAGAACAATATGCTGTATTCAGAATTGTACTCTTAACAGCTCTCAACTGTAAGAGTTATCTCCCCTCAGTTGTCACCTCATATTAAAATGATTGTTTATGTCTGGACTAATAGCAAGGAAAAGCTGACAATGATAAATGAGAAAGCGCTTTCAACCAAAAAATTCTGGGTCACTGGACAAAGCAAAATTCAGATCTGTTGACATTAATAAAATCTTTCTTTTTAATCCAAACTTTCAAATAATTTTTTTTTCTTATTGAATGTTACAAATAAATAGATATATATTTTTGTTTGTGACAGTGGATCTCCTAAGGCAAATATTTGGTTGCTGGTCGTTTTTGTCATTTACACCTATTGAGGTTGACATTATCAACTGTCATCATTTCATGACCCTGAAAAGTTGCAAGACTTGTGTCTCATTTAAAAAAAATAGCTTCAAGCAAATAAATACTTTAGGCTTTAAAGAAGACAATCCTTCATCAGATCATATAGACTGGTGCTACCCGCTATCTCTCAGTAAGCAGAAGGAGTGGTTGTTATGCTTAAATATAATTAGCATTTAATGGTCATATTAGTCAGTCATGTGCCATGTGTGATACACGCTTAGGCAATCATGTATCTTTTGATACATGACGGACAAGGCAGATTTTTTCCCTCTGTAGGTTGCCATTTCTTTCTACGGTAGACCAGTTGCCATCCAAAGCTATAGAACCCAGTCTGTCCTGCTATTTACCTATAGCTGGAGGGAGAAGAAGAGGATTCATACCTTTCCCAAGGGTATTAGTACGTAAGTGAATGTAATGGATTTGACTGGAATTTGAACTCAGCCTTCCAAGTTTGAATTCCATTCAGAATTAGAAATTTCTTTATAACATTTAGTGTTTTTTTTAGTTACTGGGCACATTTCCTGTCTGTGGATGAGCTCTGATAATCTGGTTGTGCTGCTTTTTTGTTAATTGTATTTTGTATTTGTTTTTAGCCATTTCACCCCAAGCAAGGCAATAAAGCCACTGTCATACTACTTAATCAAGGTCTCTTTCTGATTTAGACGTGAGCGCTAAGAAAGCGAAAGGCAAAATAAAAAAGTTGTCTTCTGTGCAGGAGCTCCAAGCATTACATCCAATCCACAAAAAAAAACCCTGCAAAAATCACAGAATCTACAGCCAATGATGAACATTCCCACCCAAAAAAGAAAGGACATGCCTGGGAGACTTCACCTGTTAAACCAAAGACATAAAAACAGCATTCTTCAAGTGAAGCCAAAATGCCAGGTCAAGATCAATTACGTAGCAGATTCTTCTTTGGATTATATTAAGAATTTCTAAAGCCACAGCTGAAGCACAAGACCATATGTGGAGGCAATATTCAAAGCATGGACAAACAGTAGACTCATAAATATGTAAGATAGATTCTGGCAAAAACTGTCTAGCAGCACAGTGGACCAACGTTCCTAGCAGCAGACCCAGCAATTCAATATCATCTTTCTACTTCATGACAGCAGTAAACATTAATCCAAAAAGTCATAATGACACATGGCTGATGCTAACCTCCAGGAGGTTAGCATCAGCCATGTCAAAGAAAGGCCAATAGGATTCACTCAGATGATTAAAAGAGAGCACTTTCATTTTGGAGGCGACATGTTTGGTCCAGTTAACCAAGATTAATTTTTCAGATTGGTATTACTTTACGGTAATTTTTTTCAGATTCATATTACTTTACTTCAATTTTTTTGTTACCTTTCTTTATTGTTATTTGTTCTTCTTGTTATGATGTCCATTTTTATCATCATTATTAAAAAAATAAATTATGAGAAATCTTATAAAATGAAGACCCTTTTTGTGGTTGAAAAAAATGAAATTTCTTTAGTCTTATTTTTTTTTTTCCTCTTTCTTCTTTTAGGTGCACTCACATCACAGATATAGGAGTTGGTTATTTATCAACCATGACGTCATTGATAAAGCTCTACCTGCGGTGGTGTACACAGGTGCGGGATTATGGCTTACAGCATTTGTATTCTATGCGAAACCTTCGCGTCTTATCTTTAGCCGGTAAGTCCTGATCCATTCACTTTTTCATCTCTTCAAAATCATTTAAAAAAAACTGACCCCAAGATGTTTCCCAAATTTGAGAAAATGATTCATTAATTTTTTGATAGCTTGATTAAATGGGTGTTCATAACTACAATGATCTAATTTTCTCATTCCTTTGCGCTTCTCTCACTGTATACTTTCATTCTCTTCCTTATCCGTTACATTCTTCTTTGCCCTCCATGTTTTTATTTAAATGATATGCAAATATGGATTAGTTTCATATACAAAAAAAGGAATAAGCAATAGAAAAATATTTTCTGTAGAATTCTCTCTTTTATTTATGTTTATCTTTCTCTCTCCCTCTTTCTCCCCTCATAAAGAATTTTAATGCATCACAAGTTTTAGGTCTTTCCATTTGTTAATACCTTTAAATTTTCCATGTATTATCCCTGAATATCAGTCAACAGGCCTGCTTTTCATTTCCATTTTTTCCTCTCCCTCTTTATATATATTCCTCTCCCTCTTTATATATATTCTCTCTCTTTATATATATTCCTCTTTATATCTATCTATCTATCTATCTATCTATCTATATATATATATATATATAATTCAATGAAAACAGACAACTTTAAGGATCCATTTTTTAATTTATTTCCCCAGGGAATTTTTTTCCTGGCTCATCGAACCACGCTTAGGGTGAAAAAAATGAATTTAAATTTACATATATTTTTTATAAACTTTTGAGTGTTAGTATGTAAATTTAGATTCATTTTTTCACCCTTGGAAGTGTGGTCTGATGAGCCAGGGAAAAAGAAATTCCCTGGAGAAATAAATTATAACCAATGGACCCTTAAAATTGTCTGTTTTCATTGAATTATATATATATATATATATATATATATATATATATATGAGTATGTATGATATTGAATTAATCACTCTGATTTAACATTGAGCTCTCTGGATTTTATCCTCCTTGGGATTATCCATACAGATTACCAAGATTTTCATTACTTATATATATATATATATTGTTTTCTTTTTGGTTTTCCTGCAGTTTTTTCACACTCACACCTTCTTTTCTTCCCTGGTCTTGTTGGTAGAGCCTAGAACATGCTGACTCCAACCCCAGCAGGGTGGCAAGACCCCACTCTAAATAAATATTTACAGACTCAAATATAAATGACAGAAAGTGCTCAAACCCTTCAACCTCTCCCATACAGGTGAGATATGGCAAGCCTCTCACTGCTCTACTTCTACTTCCATGGAAAGTACTCAAAAACTACATTCCCTGATCCCACTGAGGCAAATCTTCGCAGCAAGAACACACCATTCTTTGCATATCCCGAAACACTGCTCCCAACAGGATGATTCCCTGATCACTACAACCTTAACCTGTTCAAGGCTAAGATAGACTATTGCCTTCCACTCCTATACACACAAATAGCCTCCAAACATAACCCTCTACCTTGAGTGAACTTCAGGCCTTGTAAAGAGTCAACCTTGCTGTAAAAAAAAACAAAAAACTTAGATTCCTTGGTTACACCAAACATTGACCTTCATAGCAAGGACTCACCATGCCACTTACATTGTAGGAAATCACTTACATTCTCTACATATTCTATCAGTAAGAAGTAAGTTCCACTTGAACAGCTTCTCTCCATGAACTGATATTGTGGAACTGACTCCCAAGAGGATGTTTCCCCAATCACTACAATCTTAACCTTTTTAAATCTAGGGTTAACATTTATCTTCCTCTCTTATCTGTACTAACTACCTCCTAATGTTATCCTCTGAGTGGCTGCCAGGCTTTGTACAGTTTGAACCTTACTGTAAAAAAAAAAAAGACTGATTTTGACATTAAATAACCCAACAGAGGTTGACATGTCATAAAATCAACCAATTTGGTATAACTCTTTCTTTCTTCTCTTCCTACTCTCTCTTCCTTTTTCCAATTCTTTCCTGCTTGATATTATTATGTATGTTTCCTGGTCAGAAAGTATAATTGAATCTGTTTTAGTAGTGCCCAAGACTGAACAGATACAACACTCTGGTCTTAGATAAAAAAAAAAAAACCCATAATATCAACAAGCAGAATAATATAAAAGATTTTCTTATACATCTTATAATGTTAACTGTTGTGTAGAAAGATGGCCGACCTGTTCTACACTAAATTGTTGAACATAGACTCATCCACTCACTATAAATAGGACTTCTGCTCATAGGAACAGTCATCACAAAGTGGTCCATATGCATTGCCGCACTAACTACGGTATTTGCTGTTATTGTATTATTAATCCATGTGAATAAACAGTTTCTTCACTAATCTTTTGTTCCAATATTTCCTTGGAATGTCATTAATGAGAATTATGAGTATTATAACACTAACTATAACCAAAAATCTTTTAGCCAATTATCTTCAGGTGAGTTCTTTGCTATGGTACCCAGACTTCATGAATTTAAGCGTAGTACTAGACTGGTGTCGAGATATCATCAATTGACAGTTGAACTGGTTAGCTGTAGTTCTATGCTAACAGTTTCTTTTCTCACACTTCTCACTTGTGGAACTACTTTCCAGCTCCATGCTTTTCAACCATCTTTAATCTGCAAAAATTTAAATGCAATGTCAATCACTATGTCCTCCTGATTACACTTTTCTCTTTCCACTCATTATTAATGTTTCTGTTCCTAATTCTTCCACACCCTGTAATCCATTGTGCTTTAGTGGCTTTACTGTCTTGCATGGGGTGACATTAATTAAAAAATATCTTGTGGCTAATTTTTTTTTTTAAATCATTTCACTACAAGCAAGGCAATAAAGACACTTAGACACAAACAGTTTCTGAGTGTGAGAGAATATAAGAAAAAGAAAACATTATTGAGGAGAAAGAACAATAAAATGAGATGTAAGACTGAGTTTGGAATATAGGCTGAAAGTTTTGTGTATTTCCTGTTAAAATACCTATTTACACATGTGTCCAATGGTGACAGGCATGGTGAAGTATTGTTGAAACAAAATGGGGTCAATACAATTATTAGTATTGATCTTAACTATTGGTTGTTTTTTTATTGCAACTTTTACTCAAACTGTCAATCTGCTACAGTGAGTAGACAACACCACATTGGAAATCTGTCAGTGAAATTTGAACTTGACCCTTTTGTCTCAGGAAAGCCAGGTTAAACTTATGATTTGCACTGGCCATCAAAACATTAACAAAATCAATCACATTTTTTTTGCTTGGAAATCAAATATTGATAACCTCTTAATGCACATATTTTATTATTAATTTTGATACATTTCCATCATCATCATCATCATCATCAACAGCAGCACTATCATAATCATCATCAATCCCATGATTAGGTATGGTCATATAGTTGCTGTGCAGCTGAATACCTGGCCAACTGAGGTAACTCAATTGCATGCCAATATCTGAGCCTCTGTAATGATCTTCCAGTCTACTCAGTGATGTTGAGTCTAAAATGGAAGCTTGTGGAAAAATTACTGGTTCTTATATTTTTTTTATGAAAGATTTCTTAATCATTTAGTTTACCAAATCTGTTTTGATAAGGAAGGGGCTCTCATCTTTTGATGACTGGCTCAAATCTCTCTCTCTCTCTCTCTCTCTCTTTCTTTTCCAACTTTTCTGTTGCTTTACTTTAGTAATACAGATTGAGAATCATTTATCCAAAATTCTTGGGACCGAAAGTGCTTCGGTTTTCAGATTTTTTTTTTCAAATTTTGGAACACGGGCTGTTTAATTTGTATATAGCATCTATAAAATGGGGCAGCTTAGGAATGGAATCCAAGCATAAACCCAATATCCCTTTACACTTCATAACACAGCTGATACATATGTCCTGAAGGTAATTTTATATAAATTTATTGAAACAAAGCAAGTTCAATTGACCAATGTCGACAATTCCAGAAACTATAAACATTTTTTTTTTTTTTTTGCTATCCTCTGCCAGCCGCAATGATGGAGAAAGCATTACCTCGAACCATTGCCATATACCTGGGAATTAGTTTTATATAAAATCTAATAAGTTCTGTGTGCATACAGATACAGATAATGATGCTAGTCATGTAATACTCATACAGATTTTTAAATGGTGAAATTAAGATTTCATGTAAAAATAATGTTTTGTACTTTCTGTGCGCTGACACAAAAATATAATCACTACTTATAAAAAATATATAAATGCAACACCAAACACTACTTCTACATCATATGTGAGAGACTAGAGAGAGAAGGTAGATCATTAATGACATCACCGTGAATATGAGAAGGAAAATTCAGTAAGCCCTCAGTCTTTACCAACGATGTCATGTTTTGATTAAAATGTTACAATACATATAGGTAGTGTATTTGTATAAAAGCAAAACATGGATTCTGAATACAGTTAAATGTAATGAAAATTGAAAAAAAAAGGCATTTTATTTGTAATGCTGCAACGCAATAATCAGGCTGCAGGTAGCCATGTTGCTTTCTGAAATTTTCCATTTGTGGTAAGTCATATCAGCACCTGAAAAACTTTGGAATTTTGGATAAAGGATACTCAACCAGTCATACTTTTTGGGGTTAGGACTTTTTATTATGACATACATTTTATTTTTCAACTACATTCTTCTGCTTTTTCTTTCATTTTGGTTAAAGTTATTAAAAAGAATATTTAATATTGAAAATACTTTATCACAGTATCTAAAAGCAACCTAGAATTACTTTACATATTGAGAAAATAGTAGATTAGCTGAAAACTTTGTGATTAAAACAAGAAAAAGTTTATCTTTTCTTTTAAATTATTAATAAAAATTTAATCTCAAATAAATTTAAGATCAAAATATCAAGAAATTTAACTGTTGGGGCGCACCCACCTTCTAACTAGTAATGGACTGGTCCCTCTTATATAAGTCAGCTCTGGAGAGAGAGTGACGGAGTGTCAGAGAGAGAGTCAGTGTTAGCAGTCCAGATAAGCTTACCCGGTACATACCGTTGGACTATAGACTTTGGATA